GCTGCCTTGTAAGTCATTGGTCTTAAAGGTACCTGAGGTGTGACTGGAAAACCCACCTCCTCCTCCTCTTGTGCTTCTAGCCAGGCACAATCAGCATTGGTAGCTGCTGTATTGCTACTTGTGATTGCTCCATGTTTTTCTAGGTCTCGACTGCAGAATTAATTCCAGGCGGGGAGGCGGCCCAAAGGGAGATCCGACTCGTCTGAGGGCGAAGGCGAAGACGCGGAAGAGGCCGCAGAGCCGGCAGCAGGCCGCGGGAAGGAAGGTCCGCTGGATTGAGGGCCGAAGGGACGTAGCAGAAGGACGTCCCGCGCAGAATCCAGGTGGCAACACAGGCGAGCAGCCATGGAAAGGACGTCAGCTTCCCCGACAACACCACGGAATTGTCAGTGCCCAACAGCCGAGCCCCTGTCCAGCAGCGGGCAAGGCAGGCGGCGATGAGTTCCGCCGTGGCAATAGGGAGGGGGAAAGCGAAAGTCCCGGAAAGGAGCTGACAGGTGGTGGCAATGCCCCAACCAGTGGGGGTTGCGTCAGCAAACACAGTGCACACCACGCCACGTTGCCTGACAACGGGCCACAACTCCTCATAAAGAGACAGCAACCAGGATTTATACAAGGAGGAGAAAATGAAAGCCATACGGGAAGCAATAGCATGATACAAAGGCATTAAAGCAGCGTATCCACATAGCGTAAAAGGAGCAACATAGTTAAGAATACCAGTCAATCTTTCACAAATTTTGTAATCCAGAGGTTGATTGTTCCAGACGCGTTTACCCGGGGAGCATGTCAAGGTCAAAATCGTCAAGAGCGTCAGCAGGCAGCATATCAAGGTCAAAGTCGTCAAGGGCATCGGCTGGGAGCATGTCTAAGTCAAAATCGTCAAGGGCGTCGGTCGGCCCGCCGCTTTCGCACTTTAGCTGTTTCTCCAGGCCACATATGATTAGTTCCAGGCCGAAAAGGAAGGCAGGTTCGGCTCCCTGCCGGTCGAACAGCTCAATTGCTTGTTTCAGAAGTGGGGGCATAGAATCGGTGGTAGGTGTCTCTCTTTCCTCTTTTGCTACTTGATGCTCCTGTTCCTCCAATACGCAGCCCAGTGTAAAGTGGCCCACGGCGGACAGAGCGTACAGTGCGTTCTCCAGGGAGAAGCCTTGCTGACACAGGAACGCGAGCTGATTTTCCAGGGTTTCGTACTGTTTCTCTGTTGGGCGGGTGCCGAGATGCACTTTAGCCCCGTCGCGATGTGAGAGGAGAGCACAGCGGTATGACTTGGCGTTGTTCCGCAGAAAGTCTTGCCATGACTCGCCTTCCAGGGGGCAGGAGTGGGTATGATGCCTGTCCAGCATCTCGATTGGCAGGGCATCGAGCAGGGCCCGCTTGTTCTTCACGTGCCAGTACAGGGTAGGCTGCTCAACTCCCAGCTTTTGAGCGAGTTTCCTTGTCGTCAGGCCTTCGATACCGACTCCATTGAGTAATTCCAGAGCAGAGTTTATGACTTTGCTCTTGTCCAGTCTAGACATGGGCCCAGGGTTGGACTCGACGTCTCCCGCAAGCTTAAGAAGGTCAAAATTCAACAGCTGCTCCAGGGCACCGGGTTTCCTGGTCATGCACCAGGTCCTTGGGCCCTCGGGCACCTCAACATCGGCGGTCACGGTGAAGCCCAGCCTCTCGTAGAAGGGCAGGTTTCGGGGAGCGGAGGTTTCCAGGAAGGCGGGAACACCGGCCCTTTCTGCGGCCTCTACACCGGGAAGCACCACCGCGCTACCAAGTCCCTTGCCTTGGTGATCGGGGCTCACGCCCACGGTGGCCAGGAACCACGCGGGCTCCTTTGGCCGGTGGGGTGCCAGCAGGCCCTCCATCTGCTGCTGTGCAGCCAGCCGGGAGCCGCTCAATTCGGCCATCCTGCTGCCGATCTCGGCGAACACGGCTCCGGCCTCCACGCTCTCGGGGGTCGTCCAGACGGCGACGGCCGCTCCATCGTCGGCCACCCACACTTTTCCGATGTCGAGGCCCACTCTGGTCAAGAACAGCTCCTGCAGTTCGGTCACCCTCTCGATGTGCCTATCGGGGTCTACGGTGTGGCGGGTTGCGGGGTAGTCAGCAAATGCAGCGGCCAGTGTCCTCACGGCCCTGGGCACGTCGTCCCTGGTGGCGAGCCTCACTGTGGGCTTGTACTCGGTCATGGTGGCGCTGTTAACTCCTCTAGTAGAGTCGGCCAATCTGCGTTCTACGGTGGTCAGACCGAAGACTGCGACGGTACCGACGCTGGTCGCGCCTCTTATACCCACGTAGAACGCAGCTCAGCCAATAGAATGCGTGCCAATATGGAATTTCCAGGGGAAAACCGGGGCGGTGTTACGTTTTGGCTGCCCTTTCACTTCCCATTGACGTGTATTGGCTCTGAGAACGGTACTTTCCCATTAATCAGCTATGGGAAAGTACCGTTTAAAGGTCACGTTGCATTAGTTTCAATAGCCCATTGACGTCAATGGTGGGAAAGTACATGGCGTTTTAATTAAATTGGCTGGAAAAACCCAATGACTCACCCCTATTGACCTTATGTACG